TGTTTCAATCAATAAACTTTCATTGGTTATTTAAATTTAAAAGCCTGAGTCAAGTGTGCCTTTGTGGCTAAAGTTTCTTAAACAACCTCAACTGTTTTTAAAAGAAGAAATAACAAGACACAGTGCTTGGTGGTCTCAAAAGATGTTTAATACTTGGGCAGCTAGAGTGTTTCCTTACATTACAGTTTGGTGGCAGCGGAAGAAACTTAAAGATACCCCTCAAACATCATATTTGTTTCCAGTGATGTGGGATTGATTATTATATATCCCCATCTTTATAATTGGTGTACAGCGGAGTGGGATCTGATATTTTTTGATCTCCTCATCGGGCCAATCTTTATATTGGCGTGACAGCGGTGAGATTGTTTGACCACCCTGTCCAAGTTGTGTGGAGGCTCGATACGCTTGACCCGAAAATTTCTTTATAAGAACCACACCCCAGAGTCAGACATGACTGGACTTAATGTCAGGGGACTACCTTTACCTTTACTATGCTTATTAGTTTCTGCATGTGCCGAGTTGTTTTCAAGCCCCAAATCCTGGGAACTCTCTGGGAGCAATTCAGGGAGTAAACCATCATCCCTATACCCTGTAGGAACATTCTCACGGAAAACTACACTTTGAACAGTTGTCTCTCTGTCATTCTCTGCTTCAACATCACTGACCAAACCATTGCCATCTTGAACCTCATTTACATCATTCCCCACATCCAAAGCACCCTGATCCTGAAATACAATCACAGGCTGAACTCCAACAAATTTTTGGATTGTAATATGGTCTCTTATATAGCAATATTTCTTGCTGATGTTGTTCCAGAGCTGTAAATGAATGATAGATGTTTTTCCAGCCTGAAACATACTGGCTTCATCTCAGCCCCTGGCAGATGTTGACTCTTCTTAATTGGTGTTGGTAAATGCCTTGTTTTGACTTTCTTCTTAATGTAAGGAACCTTGTAAACATTTACTTAACTTAAAGACCCATTGTCTCTGATAATGCAAACACATTGTTTTCCCCAAAAAGGTTCATTGTCACTGCTTATCAATGTCAACAGTTCAGCAACTTTTAATTACAGTCCATGAATTCTTTATTTCCTTCTTGTAGTTTTCCAGGTCTCCTCTCAGGATGACATCTCTAGACTATATAGACTCCAACCATATAACTTTCATACAATTCCATTCAAACCATGCATCATATATTTTTATGCATCACAATGGTACCTCTACTTGGGACGCATGGATATGTAGCTAGATAAAGCTCAGATTGTAATTTTTTGCAATGACGAGGAGCCATTTTAAACATTTCCATATGCAGGTGACTCCGTGCTATGACAGAAAAGTAGGGAAGCCTTGAGTTGTTGTTACTTTAGGGTGAGCAAAGGCCAAGGCTGGCCCATTTCTCTCCGTCTGACTGCATTCCTGCACACATCAGGGTACTATTTGCGTAGATCAGAGATAAACATCTATAGAAAGCTGTGTTGTTGAGATTTTCTCTTTGGCTGCTTAATAGCCTTGGTTATATATTCCACTTTATCATGGAAAAAGAAAATATCTATCAGTTAAGTAAAAGGCAGATCAGGCTATGGGATTACAGCCTGTGCTGGATAGGGTTACATTCCCCCAGGTTCGTTGTTTGGGGTGATCCTGGACACATTGCGGACCCTGGAACCCCGTGTGTCGACAGTGGCCAGGAGCGTCTTTGCACAACTAAAACTTGTGCGCCAGCTGCACTCATATCTTGATAAGCCAGACCCCGTCTGGACTACTGCAAAGATCTCTATATGGGGCCGCCTTTGAAGATTGTTTGGAAGGTATAACTAGTTCAGAGATCGCCAGCCAGGCTACTAACTGGAGTATCGTACAGGGAGAGAACCACTCCCATGTTACAGCAGCTCCACTGGCTGCCGATATGCTTCCGGCTAAATACAAAGTGCTAGTCATTACCCATAACCAGCATTTCTCAATCTGGGGGTCAGGACCCATGGGGGGGTTGCAAGGGGTTTTCAGAGGGGTCACCATAGACCATCGAAGCTCTCCAAAGCTCTAGGTGCCCTTACTGCCTATTACAGGGAAAACGAACTGATCCCTAACCCATCTAAAACACAGATATGTGCTTTACACCTTAAGAACAGACAAGCATCCTGAGCTCTGAGGATTACCTGGGAAGGAATCCCACTGGAGCATTGCAGCACACCCAAATACCTGGGAGTCACTCTGGACCGTGCTCTTACTTACAAGAAGCACTGCCTGAACATCAAGCAAAAAGTGGGTGCTAGAAACAATATCATACGAAAGCTGACTGGCGCAACCTGGGGATCACAACCAGATACAGTGAAGACATCTGCCCTTGCGCTATGCTACTCATGCCCAGTGTGGAACACATCTCATCACGCTAAAACAGTGGATGTGGTGCTTCATGAGACATGCCACATTATCATGGGGTGTCTGTGCCCTACACCACTAGAGAAATTACACTGTTTAGCCGATGTTGCACCGCCTGACATCTGCCGGGAAGTGGCAGCCAATAGTGAAAGGACCAAGGCGGAGACATCTCCAGCTCATCCCTTGTTTGGGTATCAGCCAGCACCTCAATGACTTAAATCAAGAAATAGTTTTCTAAGATCTATAGAGATACTTGCTAGAACACCTCAGCAAGCAAGAGTCCAAAAGTGGCAGGCTCAAACCCAGAACCTCAATCCATGGCTGATACCAAATGAGAGACTCCCCCCTGGGCACACAGAAGATAAAAATAATCCGAAATAAAGTCAATAAAAACATGGGAGAAAAACATAACAAAAAAACAAAGACCATAAAAAATAAAAATAAGCAAAGACAAAAAAAAGAAAGACTCGGAGCGGACTTGGAAGGCGCTTGAACCAGACTGGTGCCGTCTGGACACACACGGAGATGCAGAAGCCAGCCCTCAAGGAAATGGGGCCACAAATGTGGAAGCGGAACTAATAAAGGATTGCACAAGTCTCTTAATCATGATACCAAATGAGAGACTCCCTCCTGGGCACACAGAAAACTGGGCGACTTGGAAGGCACTAAACAGACTGCGCTCTGGCACCACGAGATGCAGAGCCAACCTTAAGAAATGGGGCTACAAAGTGGAATCCACGACATGCGAGTGTGGAGAAGAGCAAACCACTGACCACCTGCTGCAATGCAACCTGAGCCCTGCCACATTCACAATGGAGGACCTTCTTGCAGCAACACCAGAGGCACTCCAAGTGGCCAGATACTGGTCAAAGGACATTTAATCAACTACCAAGCTTGGAAGGGGGCTTCTGAGTGCCAAGTTTGCTTCAGTTCCATCATTGGTGGAGATCAGAGTGCTCTTTAACTGTAGGTGAACTATGAATCACAGCAACTACAACTCCCAATTCTCAAGCTCTGTTTTCCCTAAACTCCACCAGTGTTCACATTTGGGCATATTGAGTATTCATGCCAAGTTTGGTCCAGATCTATCATTGTTTGAGTTTATTATTATTATTATTATTATTATTATTATTATTATTATTATTATTATTTATTAGATACATAACAAGATTTGTACATAGCAAACAAGATAGCAAACTCTGCTGGCTGTTGTATTGGATCACACATCAGTGTCTAGGACTATGTGATGTTTCAGTGAACAATGCTTACAGATCAGAGTAGGGTGGCCTTTTGCAGCTGACAGATGGTAATTTTGTCAGCGCCTAATGTTTTTAAGTGCAGGCCAAGGTCTTTAGACACTGCACCCAGTGTGCCAATCACATTATTATTATCATCATTAGTAGTAGTAGTCGTAGTAGTTGTAATAGTAGTATTAGATACATAACATGATAAGTACACAGCAAATAAAATCACTCTGCTTGCTGTTGCATTTGATCACGCTTCGGACAGTTCCCAAGTGTCTAGGACTGTGTGATGTATTGGCAAATAATGCTTACAGAGTGGCCTTTTTGCAACTGATAGATGGTAATTTTGTCAGTGCCGATTGTTTTTAAGTGCAGGCCAAGGTCCTGATGCACTGCACCCAGTGTACCGATCTCATTATTATTATTATTATTATTATTATTATTATTATTATTATTATTATTATTATTGGTAGTAGTAATAGTAGCATGAAGTATACAGCAAATAAGATCACTCTGCTGGTTGTTGTATTTGATCACACGTCAGACACTTCCCAAATGTCTAGGACTGTGTAATGTATCAGTGAATAATGTGTGCAGGATGGCCTTTTGCAGCTGTCAGTGCTGATTGTTTTTAAGTGCAGGCCAAGGTCTTGAGACACTGCACCCATTGTGCTGATCATATTATTATTATTATTATTGACTTCATCATCAATATAAGCATGACATGGCTGATATCATGGAAAGGGAAGCACAAGTTTGCTTTATTTATTTATTTATTTATTTATTATTTAGTATATTTATATACCGCCCCTCTCAGCCTTGCGGCGACTCGGATCGGTTTACAAGGCAAAAATTATATGCCATCAAAAACATAACTACAAAAGATCAACAACAATATAATAAAACATACTTCACAATATAATAAAACATACTTCAATCATTTCTCATTAAAGCAATGTCCAGTCCCGTCATGTAGTTGTTCCGTTATTATATCCGTTACTCAGTATTCGCAAATGCCTGCTCAAATAGCCATGTCTTAAGATTCTTCCGAAATGATAGGAATGAAGAAGCCGATCTAATCTTCCTAGGAAGGGCGTTCTTTAGCCGAGGGGCCACCACTGAGAAGGCCCTGTCTCTCGTCCCCGCCAGCCGTGCTTGTGATGGTGGCGGGACCGAGAGCAGGGCCTCTCCAGACAATCTTAAAGTCCACGCAGGTTCGTAAGGGGAGATTCGTTCGGACAAGTAAGTTGGGCCAGAACTGTTTATTTGAATGTGTGTCTCCAAAACATTTCCTTTTCCTTTCCTTCAGCCAATTCTCCTGGCTTATCCTGTCCTGCCTAACCTGATCTCTTTGCTTCTGGTCTCTCCTTTCCTTCAGCGGTGATTCCCCTGACTGACTCTGAACACAAGTTACTGCCTTTGCACTTTGCGGTTGATCCAGGGAAGGACTGGGAGTGGGGAAAGGATGACAATGATAACGCCAAGCTGGCCAAGTAAGACATCTTTCATCATTCAGAAGTCTGTCCTAAGACGCCTATCAAGAGCACCATACACCGAGGGGCTTGCGGATGATGTGGGTTCGTGGTTAGGAGGTTCCAGCTTTGACTGCTGCGGTGGGCGTCACGTGTAGCGTGACTCTAAACCCAACAGAATGAGAACTATTTAATAGGCATGTGCAATCCATGGTTCGAAATGGTTTTAAAGCACTTACAAAAATTCTGGTGGTGAAGACTAGGGCCCGCTGGTGTTTTGCTTCTACAGCAGCGGTTCTCAACCTGGGGGTCGCGACCCCCAGGGGGTCGTTTGGCAATTTTGGAGGGGTCGCGAGGCCGCCTCCTTAGGCCCCGCCCCCAATGCCGCACCCAGCCGAGGGCTCTCCTCGCGCGAAGTCTCCCTCGGCTGGGCCACGGTCCCGCCTTCCGACAAGGCCGCGATCCAGCCGAGGCCTCTCCTCGCGAGGAGTCTCCCTCGGCTGGGCCGCGGTCCCGACTTTCGGCGAGGCCACAATCCAGCTGAGGCCTCTCCTCGCGAGAAGGCTTCTTTGGCTGGGCCGCGGTCCTGCCTTCCGGCGAGGCCACGATCTAGCCGAGGCAAGGAGAGGCCTGGGCTGGATCGCGGCCTCGCTGGAAGGTGGGACCACGGCCCTGCCGAGGGCTCTCCTCGCAGGGCCGCGGTCCCGCCTTCCGGCGAGGCCGCGATCCAGCCCAGGCCTCTCCTCGCTCCCCCCTTGGCAGGTTCACGCTATCCATCAGGCCCGATGGACAGCGTGAGCCAGCCAAGGGAGGCTGCTCCGCGTGGTCTACTCACGAGTAAAGCATCTCGCGAGGTGCTTTACTCACAAGTAGGCCGTGCGGACCTGCTCCTCCCTTGGCAGGCTCATGCTATCCGTCAGGCCTGATGGACAGCGTGAGCCAGCCAAGGAAGGCTGCCCCGGCGCTACATGCAGTCATGCTGGCCACATGTCCTTGGAGGTGTCTATGGACAACACCGGCTCTTCGACTTAGAAATGCAGATGAGCATCACAGAGTCAGACACAACTGGACTTCATGTCAGAGGAAAACCTTTAACCAGGAAAATTGTGGAAGATCCATGATGGGAGAAAGAACTCTTGTCTGTTGGAGGTAGGTATGAATGTTTCAATTGGCCACCTTGATTGCCATTTCATAGCCTGACAGTTTTTAGGGAGAATCCTTTGTTGAGAGGTGATTAGCTGGCCCTGATTGTTTCTTGTCTGGAGTTCCCCTGTGTTTGAGTGTTGTTCTTTATTTACAGTTATAATTTTAGAGTTTTTTAAATACTGGTAGCCAGATTTTGTTCAGACTAGAAATAGGAAGATTTCCCCTTCTCTGCTCCTGGAATTACTGCCTCAAGAGGGCGAGAAAGAACCCCCTCCCTCTCAGGGCTCTTCCACACCGCAAAATAAGATATCTGCAATGTGCAGAGGGATTTTTTAATTGATTAAAAAAAAACCTATAGTCCGGCCCTCCATCGGTCTGAGGGACAGTAAACTGGCCCCCGGTTTAAAAAGTTTGAGGACCACTGGTCATGGGAATTCTGTGTACCAAGTTTGGTTCAATTCCATCGTTGGTGGAGTTCAGAATGCTCTTTGATTGTAGGTGAACTATAAATCCCAGCAACTACAACTCTCAAATGACAAAATAAATCCTCCCCAACCCCACCAGTATTTAAATGCGGGCATATTAGGTATCCGTGCCAAATTTGATCCAGTGAATGAAAATACACCTGCATAACAGATATTTACATTATGGTTCATAACAGTAGCAAAATGACAGTTATGAAGTAGCAACGGAAATAATTTTATGGTTGGGGGTCACCACAACATAAGGAACTGGATTAAGGGGTCACGGCATTAGGAAGGTTGAGAAACACTGTTCTACAGTGTTGCTAAAGTTCTGGTGGTGAAAATTTCAGAACCCTAACAATTTCATTATTATTTCATTCTTGATTATTTTTATGACAGAACCAATTAGGAACTGCCATTTATAATGAAAGTAGCGGTCCCCTGCCATGCGTTGCTGTGGCCCAGTCTGGTGATATGGAAAATCAAGTAATTAGAAAGTGCTGGTTTCTAATATATGTAATGTCTTTATGCTTGTGGGTAAACAGTATTTCTTGATGTTTGACAGTGTTGACGTAGAGATTGTCTAGTTTGCCAACTCTGAAACATGCAACATATAATTGTCCATCTTTAGGAGTCCCTTTCAAATCTATAATACTTTATCTGTGTGTGTGTGTGAATCATATCTATCTATATCTATGGCTGGATGGTGTTTTCTTGCCCTGGTGAAGGGAGTTGGACTGGGGGTTCTGTGTGGGAAGTTTGCCCCAGTTCTGTCATTCGTGGGGTTTATTCAGAATGGTCTTTGATTGTAGGTGAAGTAAAAATCCCAGTAACTACAACTCCCAAATGTCAAGGTCTATTTCCCCAAATCCACCAGTGTTCACATTTGGGCATATTGAGTATTCATTCTAAGTTTGGTCCAGATCCATCATTGTTTGAGTCCACAGTGCTCTCTGGATGTAGGTGAACTACAACTCCCAAACTCAAGGTCAATGCCCACCAAACGCTGCTAGTATTTTCTGTTGGTCATGGGAGTCTGTGTGCCAAGTTTGGTTCAATTCCATCGTTGATGAAGTTCAGAATGCTCTTTGATTGTAGGTGAACTATAAATCCCAGCAACTACAACTCCCAAATGACAAAATCATAATTTTTGAGTGATGTTCACTCCTTGTGTTGTGAGACGTTTTGTTGCCAAATTTGGTGTGATTTCGTTCATTGGTGCTTTTGTTTTTAAGGTACTAATTAAGCACAGAGCATTTTTATATAGAGAGATTGGAGCCCCCGGTGGCGCAGTGGGTTAAACCCCTGTGCCAGCAGGTCACAGGATCAAATCCGGAGAGAGGCGGATGAGCTCCCTCTATTAGCTCCAGCTCCTCATACGGGGACATGAGAGAAGCCTCCCACAAGGGTGATAAAAATATCAAATCATTCGGGTGTCCCCTGGGCAACGTCCTTGCAGACGGCCAATTCTCTCACACCAGAAGCGACTTGCAGTTTCTCAGGTCGCTCCTGACATGACAAAAAAAATACAAATTTTGAAAGTTTTGTTAGAGTTCTGAAATTTTCACCACCAGAACTTTAGCAACACTGTAGAAGCAAAGCACCAGCGCCCCCTAGTTTTCACCACCAGAACTTTAGTTTTGTAAGAAACATTTAGAACCATGGATTGCACATGCCTACTATTTAATGTTCCTTTGGGGAGCCTGGAGCACGAGTATGGCTTGCTTTTTGAAATGACTCCTTTCTGATTCTCTCAACTGAGCATGAATCAACTGCAGTGACCTCTTTTCAGTAATTGTGATGTGGTCTTTCCTCTCTCTCTCTCTCTCTTTTTCCTTCTCAGTTTGATTCTGTCTCTGGAGGCCAAACTTAACCTTCTGCACAGTTACATGAATGTAACCTGGATACGCATACCGTCGGAAACACGGGTAATGCCTTTACTATGTCTAAGCCAGTATTTCTCAGCCTGGAGGTCGCCAGGGGGTTGCCAGAAGGGTCACCACTCAAAAACACAGTATTTTCAGTTGGTCATGGGAGTTATGTGTGCCAAGTTTGGTTCAATTCTATCGTTGGTGGGGTTCAGAATGCTCTTTGTTTGTAGGTGAACTTTAAATCCCAGCAACTAAAACTCCCAAATTTCAAGGTCTATTCTCCCCAAAGTCCTCCAGTGTTCACATTTGGCCATATTGAGTATTCGTGCCAAATTTGGTCCAGCTCTATCATTGTTTGAGTCCGCAGTGCTCTTTGGATGCAGATGAACTACAACTCCAAAACTCAAGGTCAATGCCCACCAAATCCTTGCAGTATTTTCTGTTGGTCATGGGAGTTCTGTGTACGAAGTTTGGTTCAATTCCATCATCAGTGGAGTTCAGAATACTCTTTGGTTTTAGGTGAACTATAAAACCCAGCAACTAAAATTTCTAAATGTCAAGGTCTGTTTTCCCCAAATTCGACCAGTGCTCACATTTGGGCATATTGAGTATTTGTGCCAAAATTTGGTCCAGCTCTATCATTGTTTGAGTCCACAGTGCTCTCTGGATGTAGGTGAACTACAACTCCAAAACTCCAAATCAATCCCAACAACTACAACTCCCAAATGTCAAGGTGTATTTTCCTCAAACTCCACCAGTGTTCACTTTTGGGCATATTGAGTATCCGTGCCAAATTTGGTCCAGATCCATCATTGTTTGAGTCCACAGTGCTCCCTGGATGTAGGTGAACTACAATTCCAAAACTCATTGTCAATGCCCACCCAACCCTTCCAGTATTTTCTGTTGGTCATGGGAGTTCTGTGTGCCAAGTTTGGTCCAATTTGGGGTTCAGAGTGCTCTTTTATTGTAGGTGAACTATAAATCCAAGCAACTACAACTCCCAAATGACAAAATCAGTCCCTCCTCCCAACCCCACCAGTATTCAAATTGGGGCTATTGGGTATTTGTGCCAAATTTCGCCTAGTGAATGAAAATACATCCTGCAAATTTACATTCCGATTCATAACAGTAGCAAAATTTATGAAGTAGTTATGAAGTAGCAACGAAAGTAGTTATGATGTAGAAACGAAAATAATTTATGGTTGGAGGATCACCACAACATGAGGAACTGTGTTAAGTGGTCGCAGCATAAGGAAGGTTGAGAAACAGTGCTCTAAGCAGTTCGGGATGAAATTTTGCTAACAAAGAGTCTTATGAGAGCAGAGAGTCCCGTGCTCTGCGTCCAGCCTGAGAACAAGGAAATGCATTGCATTTTGTGGGCTGGCATTTTAGGGAAGTTGCGCATTGTTGCACAAGCGGTTCAGGGGACACAGAGAAGAAGCAGGACTGGCCAAGTAGCTGAACTCTGGGCCCCTCTAGTATGCATGTGCGATCCATGGTTCTAAATGGTTCTAAAGTACTTACAAAACTAGGTGGCGCTGGTGCTTTGTTTCCAAAGTGTTTCTAAAGTTTTAGTGGTGAAAATTTCAGAACTCCAAGAAAACTTTCAAAATTGCATTATAAGTGGCAGTTCCTAATTGGTTCTGTCATAAAAACATGGCAAAAGTTTGTCTTTATGCAAGGGACATCGCCCTATAGCACATTTTGGTTTGTTAAGTCTCCCACCAATTTAACAAAGTTTCTGCCTCAAAAGAACACACAATGAAACAGGAAATAACACTTTCAAACCAGGAACATATTTTGTTTACTATTTTTAAAAGTTTTATTGAAACTTTGAAAATTCACCAAAAATCAGTGGATAAGTCAAACGTTTTGAAATTTGGTGACCTAACAGTGGTGAAATTTTGAAAGCTTTATTAGAGTTCTGAAATGTTCACCACCAAAACTTTAGAAACACTTTAGAAACAAAGCATCAGCGCCCCCTAGTTTTGTAAGTACTTTAAAACCATTTAGAATAGGGGTCCTCCAACTAAGGCCTGAGGGCTGGATACGGCCCTCCTGGGTCATTTACCCGGCCCTTGCTCAAGGTCAACCTAAGTCTGAAACGACTTGAAACCACACAACAACAACAACAACAACAACAAGCCTATCTCATCAGCCAAAAGCAAGCCCACACTTCCCATTGAAATACTTTATGTCAAGACCCAGGCAGACCAACGAGGCGAAACAGCCGCTTAAGGGTTAACAAAAGGAGTTTAATGGCAATTAACAAGTCAAATGGCTCTTATCAGCAGAGCGTGTAAACAAAAGAGCCTGCGGCTTGCAGGAATGTAAACAAAACAGCAACCCAGGCAGTCTGGGCAGAAAAAAGGAAACTGAAGTAAGGCAGGCAAAACAGTTCGTGGTTAGAATGGAATACAGTCAGTTCAAAAATCACAACACAAAAAGCAGTATGAGGAACGGTCCGAAGTCCACGCAGGAGACAGGCAGAATTGAAGAATAGTCAAGACGGTCCAAGGTCAGGGCAGGAGACAAGACTCACGGTTCCAAGCCAGGCAAAGTAGTCAGCACAATCACGAAACACGATTCTGGATGCAAGGACTCAAGGCAAGAGTTAACAGCAGGATACACAGGTACACGACACTTTGAACTCTGCAACATGATAGCCCCAAAGCTACTCCTTAAATCCCATCAGAGTCACTGGATTCGCCTCCAGGTGCATCCAGTTCCACAGGTGAACTGCGTTCCCTCCATTGTTGCCAGTCTGCACTCCGGGCTGCATCCTGAGAAGCAGTATCCGAAACCCATGAGTCTGTGAACCCTTGGAACTCCCCACTGGAAGTTGGAGCATTAATCACATCCTGAACCTCCTGGACCCTAGTCCAGTCCAGCTCTTCATCATCACTTTCAGACCCGTAGCTATCTGCTATGTCTTTAAGACGCTTGGAAATGGATTCCTCATCGCTATCTGAACTGCGTGCTACTCGCTTTACACCACGGTAATCCTCCATCTCCATCTCCTCATGAGTAAACCCCTGAAACTCTTCCTCATCACTAGATTCTAGGAACATGTCCCTAATGCGCTTCAGCTGCTGCTGAGCATCTTCCTCTTCCAAGCCTCGTTTCCTCCTACTAGCACTAGTAGATACAGAAGGCACACGCTGAGTTACAACACTTTATAATTGTTAACATTGTTCTTCATTTTAATTACTGCATTGTTTTAAAATGTTTTTTGCACTACAAATAAGATATGTGCAGTGTGCATAGGAATTCATTCATGCTTTTTTCAAATTATAATCCGGCCCTCCAACAGTTTGAGGGACTGTGACCTGGCCCTCTGTTTAAAAAGTTTGAAGACCCCTGATTTAGGACCATGGATCACACATGCTTAGCCTCTAGATATCTTGCAACCTGTAATTTCTGAGGAATTCGTATATCTCTCCACTTCTTCAGCTAAGTGGCATCATAGCATTAGGCTGTATGTCCAATTTATCTATCTATATACATAATACGAGGGTTGAAGGAAAAGTAATGCCTCCACCTTTGTAACTCCTCAACTAGTATGCAGCAGGTACTGGCTTGTTCAATAGATGCTCCTCTACAGTTCAGTTTTGATGGGAAGCCTTAGCATTGAACGGTTGTGTCGTTAAAGTGTGAAGTATGGAACCCTGCACAGACGGTCAGTCAATGCGACTTAAGCAACGTGTAGTCATTGAATTCTTTACAGCAGAAGATGTCACCTCAACATCTTTAAACTTACTCACCCAACGACGCACAGTACTCACATCAGCGCAATAAACAGCTTGCATTCTCTGATGAATCTCCTTTGGGGATTCTGCTGTCAAGAATTCAATGACTACATATTGCTTAAGTTGCATTGACCGACCGTCTGGGCAGAGTTCCAAACTTCGCACTTTAACAACACAACCATTCACTCTTTCTTTCTTTCTTTGTCATGTCAGGAGCGTCCTGTTGTGAGAGAATTGGCCGTCTGCAAGGACGTTGCCCAGGTCACACCCAGATTATTTTTGATGTTTTATCATCCTTGTGGGAGGCTTCTCTCATGTCCCCGCATGAGGAGCTGGAGCTGATAGAGGGAGCTCATCCGCCTCTCCCGGATTCGAACCTGCGACCTGTCGGTCTTCAGTCCTGCCGGCACAGGGGTTTAACCCACTTTGCCACCGGGGGCTCCATAACCATTCAATGATAAGGCTTCCTGCCAAAATGGAACTGTAGAAGAGAGTCTACTGAACAAGCCAGTACCTGCTGCATACCAGTACTGCCATCTGTTAAGGAGTTACGAAGGTACCGCTCCAGCAGGAAGGTAACGGCGCTCCATGCAGTCATGCAGTCCACATGACCTTGGAGGTGTCTACGGACAACGCTGGCTCTTCAGCTTAGAAATGGAGATGAGCACCACACCCCAGAGTCAGACACAACTGGACTTAATGTCAGGGGAAAACCTTTACCTAACCTATATACAATATATTATTATATTATATTATATTATATTATATTATATTATATTATATTATATTATATTATTAACATAGCACAAGAGGCAAGGTGGAGAACTACGGGGAGAATCTGTTATAAGACATACGACAAACTAATCACTTCCCAACAAAGGATTTCCCCAGGCTGTAAGAAGCCACAGCTTGAAAACTGCTAGACCGTTGAATGCTAATCAAGGTGGCCAATTGCTACATTCACACCCACCTCCAACAGACAAGAGTTCTTTCTCCCACCATCATTCCCATTTTCCTAGTTTCCACATCATTCCCATTTCCACATCATTCCCATTTTCCTAGTTTCCAGCAGACCTCACAATCTCTGAGGATGCTTGCCATAAAAGCAGGCGAAACGTGGCCAGACAGTCCGGAAAACTCACAACAACCCATTTGAAAAACTGAAAATTCTTTTATTTTCAAATTCTGCCTCATACGTAATGCCAAATACATAATTCTCTTCAGCTGACCTATATATAGAGATGGGAAAGCATGTTGTTGATCTTGTTTCCTACACGACATTGACAAATTAGATGAATTGTGGAAGGA